ACGTTTTTTAACCATAACTTTTTTCTTTGAATTTTCTCGTTCTTTAAATATTCTACAAAGTTGTAAGTGCTTAGAAAATCCACATTTTTGCTGAAGACATTAAATCGCTATCTCTTTATTGAAAGGATTTACGCCAGTTTTTATAATTTTTTACACTATCTTTAAGGGGGTGAACCTTGCAAGTTAACAAGTATTAGCAGCTAATGACAACGCCATTGCATTCAACAACTTATACCCTATTGTTTCATATACAATTCATAGGGGGATCCAAGGGGATTCTCAATAAATTTTCAAAAAAATGTACCTCAATATTTTGTTACGTTTTGCTGTTTTCATGAAGATTTTTCCAAGTATGTACATGCATGAAGACAAAAAACGTGTTGCTTACTGTTAATTATGACAAAAGAAATCATTATGGTTAACATTTGCACTAGCTATCAATATTAAATGGCAGTACAGCAGGTGGTAACACACTTATTTGAACTTATTTGCGTTTAATCCCGTAATTGATGTTGACTCTAACGAGTCCTGGAAAAATCATCTATTCAATTTGTGTATTGTTTTATTTTTCCGTGTATGCTGTCATTCAGGCCATTTATCCGGCTGTAGTTTAACAGGTTTTCACAAGTGATTTTTAAGAGTATCGATATGTTGAATTATCTAAGATCAGAGTTGTGTGGTGTTTGGTTTCAATCAGATACAAAAAAGAGATATTGGAGTATGTTAAGAAGAAGACTGGTGGAGAAAAGTTTACTGCAAAACATAAAGAAGTTGTCATCCAGTTCTGCTCAAAACTGCAACAAAAATTGCAAAATTGCAAGCGGAACAGAGCCCATTTTCATATGCGTAATAAAACGTGGCTTTCTGGACAAGTCTGTCCTGAATCACGTTCTACTCGAGATTTTAAGCCGACTGATGGTGTCTTCAGACCCATTGATTTCATCAATGCGAAAGATTCCTAGAAGGAAAAGCATTCCATTCAGAGGAGATGCATTGAAGTTTTTGAAAGAACCGAGTATTTTAAAGAACGAGATGCCATGTTCATCCAGCGATGAAGATTGGGAGGAGAACGATCAGCTGTAATGAAAATTGTAACCAAACAAGTATCAAAAGAGTTTGAATAAATGTTTTATCACCTGCTTGATTGTGAAAATGTTCACCATAATGATTTCTTTTGTCATAATTAACAGTAAGCAATACGTTTTTTGTCTTCATGTATGTACATACTTGGAAAAATCTTCAAGAAAACAGCAAAACGTAACAAAATATTGAGGTACATTTTTTGAAAATTTATTGAGCATCCCCTTGGATCCCCCTATGAATTGTATATGAAACAGTAGGGTATAAGTTGCTGAATACAATGACGTTGTCATTAGCTGCTAATAACTGCTAACCTGCAAGGTACACCCCCTTAAAGATAGTGTAAAAAAAATTGTAAAAACTGGCGTAAATCCTTTCAACAAAGAGATAGAAATTTAATGTCTGCTGCAAAACTGTGGATTTTCTAAGCACTTACAACTTTGTAGAATACTTAAAAAACGATAAAATTCAAAAAAAAAAAGTTATGGTGAAAAAACGTTTTTTAAGGGTGTACTACCGTTTTTAGTCGATTTTCACCCTATAACTTCGTCCACTTGAGAGATAGAAAGTTTAAATCTTGCAAACTGCATTTTCAATGTTTTCATAGGTGTTTATCAAATTTAACAAGACATAAAAAAAGTTATTTTTTTTATCTGAGTGTATACCCTTAACCAAAAACTTTTTCTTTTTAAATAAAGTACTTAAAAAATAAATAAACATTCTAGAGACATCAAAAAGCTACACTCAATAGTTTCATCGCAAATAGCCATGTGCCGCTTTTTTTGATTTCGTCCCACTGTGCGATCGGTTCAGTAGATTCCGAGTCTAAGGCTTATACTCGAAAAAAATGCACTATTTTTATACGTATGTAACTTTTTTATCCGTGGGTAAAAATTGATGAAAATCTGGGTATAACTAGTTTGGAGTGAATTGTTTACATGTGCAAAATTTCATAACAATCGGTTCAGTGGTTATTGAGATGTCATCGAAACAAGAAGAAAATCGCCGGAGAATTTTGCGCGCCGTCATGGAAAATCCGACTGCGACCATGAGATGGATCGGAATACAACTGGGAATCACCCATACAACTGTGTCTCGGATGGTAAAATCATTTAAGGAGTCCCAGACGACCGAGCGGCGGGCTGGAAGGGGAAGAAAATCGAAGACAGCTGACCCTGTGAAAAGCGTAATCCGAACCTTTCGATTCGCGACGCGGCTCTGAAGGCAAAGTGTTCCGCCTGGTTCGTTCAGCAAACCATGAAACGAGCTGGGCTTCATGTATTCAAGGTCCGGAAGGCACCGAACCGGCGTGATCAACAAAACACGGCGGCCAAATCCCGCGCAAGGAAGCTGTATCGAGAGTGGTTAACGAAATCGATGTGTGTGGTTATGGATGACGAAACCTACATCAAGGCAGACGCAAAGCATATACCGGGGCTGGAGTTCTACGTTGCCAAATCACGGTTTGATGTTCCGGAAGACATAAGGAAGAAGAAAGTGGACAAATTCGCCAAAAAATACTTGCTCTGGCAGGCCTTATGCCAATGTGGTAAACTGAGTAAACCGTACATCACAATGGGTACCATCAACAGCGAAATTGACCGCATCGAGTGCCTCCAGAAGCGTCTGTTGCCCTTCCTGCGGTCCCACGGAGGCGAGACATTATTTTGGCCGGACCTGGCATGATGCCATTACGCGCGATCGACGTTTGATTGGTACAGAGACAATAACGTTGTTTTTGTACCAAAAACCGCCAACCCCCAAATTCACCAGAGATTCGTCAGGTGGAAAGATTTTGGGCCATAATGAAGGCCAAAGTTCGAAAATCGTCCTAGGTGTTTAAGAACGAGCTAGAGTTGAAGAAAGAATGGATGAAAGTGACCAAAACTGTCGGCTCCACCATTGCACAAAATGTAATAAGGGGTCTTAAGGGAAAGGTGCGGGCTTTCAGCAATGGAAAGGAAATTGAATAAAGTAATTGTGCCGAAACATAATCCATATGTATTAAATCATTCCCTGAAAGTTTCAAGAAAATCCGACTCAAAATAAATTTTGGTGAACACTTTTGTCTGGTGCATTTTTTCGAGTACAGGCTTTATTATAGACTTATAATAAGGGTCAGGCAGACAGACAGAAATTCATTTTTATATATATATATCGATTGAACAACTCTTGATTGGAATCATTTGTTTAGAACAACAATTTCAAAGCAAAAATGCCATTAAGAAATTAGGAGTAATAAATTAAATCCAATTATGAACTATTACAATGCATCACATTATTCGAACAATTTCAAATGACGTTTCCTACCACTCGAACTTTGCCGTCGAAAAATAATTTGATATTTTTTCATCTACAAAATATGGTCTTACTTACACTAAGCTAAAAACATTTGGATTTTATTTCTCCATTTGCCATATTGCTACTTAAAATCACTGGTAGAAGGTCTACCTAAAACTGCTCGACAATATGATTAATAGAGTGATGCAAAATTTGAAATTTTCGCTCCACAATACTTAAACGATTCCAAATCGGATCCTGACTAACCTCTCAAAATTTGAACCCATTTGGTGAGAAACTGAGATCGCACAAACCATTTGAAATTTGTATGGGAATTACTATGGTAAAAATAAGATTTTTGTTCATGTGTATCTAATAATTCACCATATCGGTCTGCTTCAAAAACTTTCAACTGTACTTGTAGGAAATTTTCCCAGCTACAACTTTGCTTTTTGATTAAATGCAAGAATCGAAAGTTATCAATGGTTCAACGCGCTGATGTCTTATGATCATGCTCAATCAACTGCTCAGCAGGCAACATTGGTGTTTCTGGGGCATTGAATAGGACACAAAAATTATGGCTACTATGTCACACTGCAAAATACAGTGTTGCCTACAGAGCAGCTGCTTGATCATGTCATAAGTTTACCAATCTCTTAAATAATTAATAACTTTTTCCTGTCTCGTTTTACATAGAAACGATCTTGAGCAAAGTTGTAGCTGAGAAAATTTTCTAGAATGGCTATCGAACTGTTTCGCAGCTCAATATGGAAAAAGACTAGAAGGCAATGAACAAAAAGTTGAGATTTCCCATAGTAATTTACATGCAAACTTCTAATGGCTTGTGCGAAGTCTGTTTCTAACCAAATGAGTTGTTACTTTGGGAGGCTAATCAGGATTTTAAACACAAGGCTTGCTTTATGTTTGTAAATATTCCACATGAATATTACTTAAACACATGTATGTTGACGAACAGCAACAATTTCAAATGATACACCCAACAGCGAAATGTAAGTATTTTACAGATTTGCATTAAAATTGAACAGATTTGTGAAATGTTGACAGAAATATTTATGTAATCTTTACGTTGGTTAAATTTTCGAACTAAGTTTGTTACTACTGTGGCTAGAAAATCGTACCGTGAGGGTTTTGGAATTTTAACAACTTTTGAACATTCAGATGCAATGATTCTTGTTAAATTTTGCAGTAATAGTCTAAACAGCCAGGAAGCGCAATTTCATTCGAGACTTAAAATTTTATTAACACTAGCAAAAAAATGCTATGCCACCTCATCCGACAAAATCAACTACAATACCAACTTCTTATATGACCTTGAACTTATTGAGCAAAACTTAGAAGAGCTAGAAGCATCATCAACAACGAACTTCTACTTTGCGACCAGATTAGATCTAAAACAACAACAAATTTGCGCGGTTCAATCAATGCGAAAGATGTGCACCACTCCATGCTGCTGCTGGAAGTGCTGTGTGCTAGCCAATACATGTTGAGAAAAAAAACCCATACCAATCTAAAACTAAAGTGAACGCTTGAACTGACGATTGAATGGTGATGATAAAAAGTAATCGAGTATTAAATGGAAGAGGTACGAATTAGATGCCAACCATCACCACTGTCCTCACCTAACGGCGTCGTGCTGACCGATAGTGCGTCCTGATCTTGTTGCATGAAATCGTACTCTCCGTAGCCTCCATCAGTAGACCCATCGTCATAATCCTCATCTAGCGTTATCTGCTCCGGATCCATACTCTGGTTCCTGCTACCCAAAAAAATACCGATCTTCTTGCTGCCTATCTACAGCTTCTCTCTTTCTCTTTCTCCCAAACACCTTTTGCATAACAGAACATAAAATAAAGGCTTTTCACGATCACGGCAGAATGTAAACAAAATACGATTCAGTTGCACAAAGCTAGTTTTCTCTTTCACTGACACTTTTTTCACGATTTTGTTTTTTAGCTCACCACATTCTTCACGTACGGATACCCAGTTGGTTCAGTCCCACTGGCTTCCGGTACTTACACTGGTAGGTATGCAAAGTCTTCTACTATAGTTAACCCACTCACAATCGATTCTTCCACCAATTTTGTCGATTTTTTTTTTCGACGCGAAAAAAAATCCCATACACATTGGTTGTTTCCGGTTTTCGGGCAGCAGCTATCAACTTCAACCACCGAAATCCAAACTACAGCCGCTGACCATGGCGAGCTCAGCATTTGCTTCGATTTGGACGACGGGAGACCACTGCTGCTGCTGCTGCTGCTGGTGGTGCTGCAACGACAACCACGAAAACGACGACGGCAAGAAGAAGATGGTCGCCGCCATTGTTGATTGGGATTTTTTCACTGGTTTCACTCGAATTTTCAACTGCGATTTTTACCCCGAAACGGTCCGGGCCCGGGCCACAAACATTTCCAAACACGAACGGGGCACCGGTGCTACAAAATACAGGTATTTTGGCTACATATTTCGCACCATTTTATACACTTTTGCCGAACGAAATCGCGGAACCACAGCACAGTCGTTTTCGGGGAAAATAATCACTTTAATGACAACACCGCGATCGCGACTGCGGGCACGGTGCGTGCGGGCGAGGTGGCGTTAGCGTATTTGTGTGGTTTTAGTACAATTGCAAGAAAATTCGCAGCACGATAGATTCGAGCAAGCCAACGGCGACGGTGCGTCCAGGTGGGCAGTTTTTTGAGAATTTAAAATTTGCTTCGAATGAATTTGGTATGCAGCTGAAAAGAAAACGAAAAAGCAATTTTTGAGGATTATTCCCAAAAGAAAATTTGCAGCTGCTGGGGCTCAATGAATGGAGTGTCCTGGATGGAATTTGACATGTGCGCGAGCAAATGGGTATCAAGGTAAATACATACTCGGTATCTGCATTAAAAATGGAACCGAAATCCAAAATTTCATTAATTTTGGTACACTGGAACTATTTTAAATAAGTACGATTACATTAGCAAAAATCCCCATCTTAGCGCCCCTTGGTGGAACTTTGTATGGGAGCGAGCTGTCAACGAATAGATTATGTCAACGATCAATAATTTGAATCCTGATTTAATGATGAAGATGAATGTCTACGGGATCGATAAAAATATCGTTGTGCTCAAAAAAATTAAGCTTTATCAGATGATGTATTAACATCGGTATATTTTTCGAAGTAAAACAACCCAATTGCGTTCCACCTTTTATGAAAGGAGAACTATTTCCCACGCAGAAAAAACATAGTTAATCCAAATAAAGCACGATTCATTTCAAACAAAATTTTGAATAGAATATAGATCAATAAAATCCATAGAGTAATCCAATAAAAATATAAAATTGAAATAATGCAACCAGCTTTATTGAATGAAACATCGATTTTTATTGATTAAAATTTTTTTTTAATTGAATCAACCTGCAGCATGTTTTAAAGCAACGAATAATTTTCATATATATATATATATTTATATTGTATCAAAATAAAATTTATTTAAATATATAAATATTTTTTTCCCTTATTTATTCTATTTAAACTCAGGTTTTTAGAAAATTGCGAACAATACGCTTGCTCGCATAATAAGCATTCTTCGACTTGGAATCAAATTCAATCATATCATTGAAATATGAGAACGTTAATGAACAAAAGTTGTAACAATTTTATGGTATTCGATCCGGTTTACCTTATAATTGCGTGTTTACTGCTATTTTTTTCAAGTCACAGCTGAAAATAATTAGAAAGATTCCGTTTATGAAATCGTTGCTTTCTTTCGAAAACTAGGATTTTGCTTTCAATCGAAGGAATAGACAAACTCAAGCATATTCAAAATCATTGCAAAGTACCTCTGATACTCACAGTTACCATGCGGAATCAAAATCTGTAGATTCACACAAAATAATCGTTAATAGAATTAAAAGTTTTCATTGGTTCTTTTTGATTGAAAGTCCTGAGCTTTCAATATAAAAATGTGTTACCATTCGAATCAAAAGTTTCGCTTCTTGTTAATTTTAAAAGTAGGCAAAATTGAAATTAAATTGTAGAACTGTCAAAATAAAAACCAACGTTTTAAACTGACGTATGAATTGTTGCACACCAAAAGATGCTGGTTTTAAAGCAAGAATATACAATTAATCAAATTGGAATTATTTTCAAACAAATAGTTCTCAAGATTGAAGAGAAAGTGTCCAAACTCATATTTTTTTTATCATTTTCAATAATTATGTATATTCACCATTTCAATTAACAATCAAAAACAAACATTTTATGCAATCACCATAGATTGTTGCCGAGTTTTAGGATGACGACGATCGACATGAAGGTGGTGATTAGGGAAACGAGCCTTCATGATGCGTTCCCAAAACCTTTCCAAGGATGGAGGTTCTTGTAAACTTGCTCATTTTCCCAGCGGAACAGCCACATTAGATCCAGAGCTCGGTTCACAATTACGTCCAGCGGCAGATTTTCAAGCGATAGGAACGGGATCATTTCGACTAGTATCGGAGGACGTGTGGGGTACATAAATTTTGCCGGAGCTGAAGTATTTGGTCAGGTGGATCGAGTTTTTCTACCACATCAAGCCGGGTTGTTTGTTGGTTTGTTTGACAGCTGCTTTTCGGCTTCGCATATCCAATTGTTGCTGGGATGCAAAAATTGTGAAAGCAAATGACAGTGATCTTGCTCACTGAGTAATGTGAGTTACTCGAGATGCCTCAAAAGCAACTCTAAAAAATGCTCATGATTAGGAGCTGTCTTGCTCCTTGGCTCAGTGCTGCCAGTGAAAACGTGCTGTGAAGACATATTTTTGAAAGTTGAAAAACTTTACTTTACGAATTACAAGTCGAAAGTGAAAGAAACACTTTCAATCCAAAAGGATTCATTTAGTGTTAAATGTTTTCGTAGTTGATACTACCATAGAGGTAACTCTAAGACCACTGGGTCCCGAAGAAAATCATTATTATTTTTGGCTCACTCAGTACCAGAACAACGGTCCCAAGCAGTCCCAAGCTATTTCACTCACCCCTGCATGTTCTGCATGAATCCACACACCCCTGATGTTATCTGTCAAACTTTCATAGCGAATCAAAACAAACATAGTGTAGTAATAGAATTTCAACTAGAATAGGGTACGTTAATCGTTTGCTTGGGACCAATAGGCTACTAAAGTGGTGACCCAATTTAAAATCGTTAGTTTCGTATTGATTGTTGATACTACGGATTTTTGGAAACTTTCAATTTAAAAATGCATTATATTTATTGATACAATTTTTGTTTTTTTTTTGTGTGTAGCAATCTGCGATGGATTGTCATTCTAAGGTTCAGCTTGGTACTACGAAAACAATATCTGCAATGGGCTTAAAACAATTTATCCCTGATTATGCTCAGGTATTTTATTTTCAAAACAACAAATTAAAAGCGAAATAAAGCTTCCGGAATGACTGGACGTGACAAGCTTCTTGGATAGACTTGCCTGACTCTGGGTGGAATAACCCACTGAACCGTTTCTAACTTAGCAGACTTACCTTGGGGAGGAAAGATGCGATCCTCGATGCGAACCGTACACCACCTTCGCTTGTAGGCAGCCGGTCACCGGAACGCCCGATTGACCGATCATCAAGTGGTCTAGCTGTCAGGCTTATCGGCCACCTATTAATATCAGAATGTGTAAACGTATTTCCAACTGGTAGCTAGATAGTAGACAGATGATCGATTGAATGCACTTCGATTCGCGTATTTTATTAATAAGTTTACTGACCTCCCTAATAAAAACTTTATGGTTATTTTGCTTAACGACGTGTTCGGGGTATCATCCAAACCACTTGTGGAATAGTCAAAGGGTGGTCACTCTACACACTTGTTTTGCGCCAACTTTTTTCTCAGTGTACCTCAGTGTGCCACAGCTGTATCGGCAGTGTCAAGAAGTCATTGAACTGACTTTTGATTGCTTGTGAATAATGCCTTGTTTGGCAACCCGGTATTTTAACAGCTCTTATTTTTGTTTTTTTTTTCAATGTTTTCAAAAACGACACGGACTCCAGTTGGGACTACACACTGGATGCATCCGTCTCCAAGGATGCCTGTTTCGGACGACGGACGAGCACCGTTGCTATACGATCTTTTCATCTTCGGCGGAAGGCCGACCCCGCACAACGAACGTCAATCATTAGTCAACCAACCGTTCTAGGAGCGGGCGGAGGAAATGGATTTGCATCGAATTTTTCACCGCCCGAGTATCATCCGTCGGAAAACTGGAAATCAACACCGGCCGGAACACACGTCGGACTGATGAAGGACGCACCGGTAACCCGAAACGAACCAGCCAATTTTCCAAGCTAAACTACTTGTCAGAGTCCACCAACCCGTACACCCTACAGGACAATTCGATCAGCTTCAAGGTCTACAGCGCCTCCAAGAACAATCGCTTTCCAGGCCAGCAAAAATCGCATTCTCCACTTCTTCAATAACCCACCCGTATGCCGTCCGAGGATCTGCTGCTGACTGCATTCACCACCAAGAACTGCCACCCGTCGCAAGCGCGAATGTTCCCGCTGAAATCGGGAAGTTCCTCCTCCGGATTGGTTGAGTTCCCGAGCGTAGCCCTGGCGGTGAACGTCATCATGAAGTTCCCTACCAGAAACCAGAAACTTAGCCAGATTGTGGCGGCCATAAGTGATCGTAAAATGCTGGATACCTTAATTATGGTTTTTATGGTACACTGATAAAATTCAAAGATTGTTTTTATGTGACCACATGAATTTTTGCAATGTGATCATGTAGGGTTTTTGATCTAAATTCCGTCCTACTAAACACAACCCGCGCTTTACCTCTCTTTTCTGAACGAGTTTGAACGAAAAATGGAATATTTTTGTCAAAGACGATTTCTAAATTTATTCACCTTTCTATACGTACCGTTGGATTTGATAAAGAGTCACAAATTGTTGAGATATTGTTTAAAAATGACAGCGAAAGCGGAACGGCAGCGGCAGCGGAAAAGCCCGATCTGAGTAAGCCTACTTGTCGGATTGAAAACTAGTTAGAATCAAATCAACTTTGGTTAGGCATCTTGATGGCATTTGTGACAACTGTCAAACTTTCCGTTTCCGTTCCGCTTCCGCCCACATTGCGTTTGGGCCTTAATACTGCTTCTTGATTCTGAATTCGTTCCACAAGTTTCAATTCCGTCCTAACGCATTGAAACGCCATTAGATTTCCTTCGCCCGTAGAAAAGGGGGATTTGCTAGGAGCGCTTTTTTTGTTTCGAGAACAATGAGCGTAAACATTCATATAATGTGCTCTAACAGGGTTTACGTTGTAGCTAATGAACTAACGCATCGGAACAAACCTATTATTGGTTTGCGCATGGTAAAATCATTGATATTATTGATATTTTCTGATCGATAGAACCGAAATGGGCGGTTACGACGAAGTAGAGCTCTACACCCTATGTATACAAAAGACAAAATTGTTAAAATAGCACTTAAGACAACAATTGTAAAACGGTCTGCACTGATTGACGACAAATAAATAAACATACCTACGTATTTTTCGGTAAAAACAAAACCAAATTTTAGAAATCTGATCTTAACGTGCAGCAGAGTACAACCCTGCATTTTTAGAACTTAATCGTATTTTGACAGTCCGTTTTAGTACAATCCAGTCCCGCGCGCCTCCCCCTCCGTGAACAGAATTTCAACGCTCCCATCATAAGCGTCGTCGGTGTTTTCCATCGAGGTCTTTCTGTCATTGTCAGTACGGCATTCTGCCACATGTATATTACATCAGATTGATAAAATTCACATTTTCGTGCTAAAATCTTCCTAAAAACGGGTAAATCTAGTGAATAGTGATAGTTTTCACCGTGTGCTATCCAGTGCAACAGGTTTTCAGCTGAAAAAAGTGTTATTTCATTGGGAAAAATGCTTCCGAAATGTGGCTATTTTCCAACCCCAGTTTTGACATCTGTACGGGGGAGAAAGTTCATAGAACCGCTAGTGGAGAGTGGGGTAAAATGGTGCTATATTCGGTCTGCGTTGCACTCGATGGCTGCGAATGATGTTTATAATGATCGTTTTCGTGTTTAAGGTTGGATTATAATCTTGTTTGTCGATTTCAGCGAAATTTAATAGATCAAGATGGTGTTATCGTGTAGATTCTACAAGCAAAAGTACCCGGGGGTGGAGGACGTCGTTATGGTGAATGTTCGTTCCATCGCCGAAATGGGTGCCTACGTCTATCTGTTGGAGTATAACAACATAGAAGGTATGATCCTGTTGTCAGAATTGTCCCGCAGACGTATCCGTTCGATCAACAAGCTCATCCGCGTTGGTAAAACCGAACCAGTGGTCGTAATCCGTGTGGACCAATTCAAGGGATATATCGATCTGTCCAAGCGACGAGTCTCGCCGGAAGATGTGGAAAAATGTACGGAGCGATTTGCCAAGGCTAAGGCAGTGAATTCGATTCTCCGGCATGTGGCTGACATGATGAAGTTCACTAACGAACAGTTGGAGGAACTGTATGAAAAAACCGCCTGGCACTTTGAGGAGAAGCTCAAGAGTAAGGCCGCTGCATATGATGTGTTCAAACAGTGTGTCATGTAAGTAGGTTTCGGCTTTGGGGTTGAGGAAGTAGATTTTGACTATCGAATGCATATTGTAGTGAGCCATCTATGCTGGACGAATGCGGCCTTGAACCGGAGGTGAAAGAACTGCTGTTGAGCAACATCAAGCGCAAGCTTACCTCGCAGGCGGTTAAAATCCGAGCAGACATTGAATGTGCTTGCTATGGTTACGAGGGTATCGATGCAGTCAAGACTGCACTCCGGGCTGGCCTGGAACTCTCGACTGAGGAACTTCCGATCAAGATTAATTTGATTGCTCCTCCTTTATATGGTAAGTTTACTACTCAACAAAATTAAACAACACAGTATTTATTTTCCGTATGTCATTTCAGTCATGACAACCTCAACACCGGAGAAAGCCGACGGACTGAAAGCCCTGGAGGTGGCCATTGAAAAGGTCAAGGAAACGATCGAGAATCTCGGCGGTGTATTCAAGGTACAGATGGCACCGAAGGTGGTCACCGCTACGGACGAGGCGGATCTGGCGCGAAAGATGGAACGGGCCGAAGCCGAAAATGCCGAAGTGGCTGGAGACTCGGATGAAGATGAAGACGAGGAGGGAATTACATACAATCCGGAGGGTGAGGAAGGCGAAGACGGAGATGATAAGGAAGTTGAAAGCGCTGATGAGGTGGAAGAGAAGAAGGCAGATTGAGCAAAGGGGAAAAAATCATCCAGAACGACTACCAGACAACAGTTGCAAAAGGGAGTATTACATTCGCGCGGGAGATAGGAAGTGTGTTCACACTATTCAGTCGTTTAAATTATCGGAACATCCTATTATACACATACACAATCCAATAATTTTCGTTCTTTCCAAGATTTGTCGTTTTGTATTTCCTTTAAAGGGAAAACATTGTGTAATTTTTGTTTTATCCAAGCCTCTAAATAATAATTGCAAATAGACTAGGCGGAATATGATAAAAGTATACATAACACTCATAACAGTAGATTTACTGGAAATTTTAAGAGAAAATCCTGTTAGGAGATGGGTTGGATGCATTAGTTTCCTCATAATTTTCTAAAAAAATAGGTTACTTGTTCGTACAGTTTCCGGTAAGTTTACACCTAATCAAAACTCACTCGACCGATGAACCTATGAAGAAAGCGGTTGCTACCGTGATAACTCATTGAACTTCCCGTGTGAATTTTGAATTAACCATCGAATAAAAAATCTTTTGCAAATTGACCCCGACGTGATTTGAACACGCAACCTTCTGATCTGGAGTCAGACGCGCTACCGTTGCGCCACGGAGTCTCCTTCATACTGTGCTTAGTATTTTGCATTGAAATATGACTACTTGTGAGTCGCATGTTCAGTAGCAGCCTCCTAGTGCACAAATTAACATCCAATTACACTTAGACTAACTGAATGAACGCCTATACTGCCGCTATTCGCATAACAGTCCCATGTCCTATGGATTTCCTATCTATATAGGTCTGTTATGCGAATAGCGGCAGTATAGGTAAATGCTACTAGTTCTTAGACGAGCGATAAATGGAATGCAATTCTTGACGAAGATTGCAAACGGTCCAATGTCCGTGATGATCGGCTCTCTTCATTGACTTTATTTTTTGGATAGCCGCGGCATTGTAAACACATTTTCAGCTATGTCGCCAATACCATTTGGTAAAAGAAGGTGTTATCCAGTACATAAAACAACAAACAACTGCAGAAAACACTATTGTAGCCGTGTTCTTAGCGAAAGCAAAAGTAATCGATCAGTTAACTTTGGGCCTTCTACATTGTTCGGCTTGAATTGACTTCATAGTAGATCAGCAATCATTCGCCTGCAAAAGCGAGCAACGGTAGGCATATGGTGTTGCATAAATGAAGGCGCTGCGGACACCCATAGACTTTTTTTTCGAGACCAAGATTACCCATTTTCTCGTTTTCGTTCGATGGTGCGAGTGGACGTGACAATGCCACCGCGACGAACGTAAGTGACATCGGTGATTTCGGCGACGCCATCAACAACGAGAATGAAGCTTCCCCCACTACTGGTGGTGAATAAGGCCACTCAACATGCTTGTTGGCGATTTCACATCGCTGGACGTTGGAGCTGAGTACAAGCTCAGCAGAATCGGCACCAAGGTTCCGTACAAAAGCGGAGTATAAAGTGGCCGTGAAATACTTGAAGGATTCCAAGGCAGAATTCTTCACGCATGACATCCCCGGTGAGAATCCCTTCAAGGTAGTAATCAGGGGCCTGCCGAATTTCGACCCCAAGATGGTCCAAGCTGAATTCAATGACCGGTACAAGCTGGCCCCAATCGCTGTCTTCCGGATGACTAGGAGAGACGAAAACGTGAAGACATGCCCTGATTGCCTTTTCCTGGTGCATTTCCAGAAAGGTACGGTGACGCTCAACCCGTTGCAAGCCATCCGCTCGATCTACTCCATCATCATACGGTGGAGAGTCATACCGTGGCGGCCATCGTGACGTAATGCAGTGCCAACGGTGCCTCAATTTTGGACACGGTACCCGCAACTGTAACATTAAGCCACGCTATAGCAACTGCGCTCAAGAACACGCCACTTATAACTATCCTGCGGCAAATGCTCATTACAGCTAAAATGCTATTTTTCGGATTTATGAAGCTATGAGATATGATAATTCTTATTTACAAGATGCAAGAAAAGAAGGTAAAGTGTGTGTATGACACACAAAACCTGTCAATTTAGCTTTCAGAGGGTCACAATAGCGATTAGCTGTAACTATGAGCAACGCGATGAGTGAGCAATCAGCGATCATAAAATCGCTAGTTGTGACCTTCTGAAAGCAAAATTGACAAAATTTATATGTCATACACAAACTTTACCACCTCTTCTTGCTTCTTACAAATAAAAATTATCATTATTGTATCCCATAGTTTCGTAATTACGAAAACTAGCATTTTAGCTGTAATGAGCAATTGCAAGCCTGCCCTGCGGATGGAGCCGTGGCGTTGAAATGCGCCAACTGTGGTGGTGCTCATCAAGGTTCGGACCGACAGTGCTCCAAACGCGAGAACTCAAAACGCATCCGAAAGCAGGTGGCAAACAACAATCAACCAGGAAGCAAGAAGGACAAAACCCCGGTATTCAAGACGGAGGATTTCCCGCCTATTCGTGCTCCTCAGCAAACGCAAGCAAATTTCCCCCTCAAGAAGCTTCCGGTAATTTTGCTGGACAAACATCTCAACCCCCCCCCCCCCCTGGATTCTGGAGACAACCAAGGGGCTGTTCATAAATTACGTAGACATTTTTTTGGGATTCTTGACCCCCCACCTGCGTAGACAATTGTCCATACAAATTTTTTTAAATTTGTATGGGCCTTGGATAATTGTTAAACCCCCCCTAAACTGTCTACGTAGTTTATGAACAGCCTCCAACAGCGCAAAACAACAACCCTGATCTGTTATCAGCGTATGAACTGATGGAAATTTTCGTCAACATGACCGGTGCTCTACGTAAGTGCTGGCGCCGGTGGGATAGTGGTAAGCGTGACTGCTTTCTAACACCCCAATGGGTCTGGGTCCAATCCGGCATAAAAATCTCTGGTCACGTCTTCCTTCGGAAGGGAAGTAAAGCCGTTGGTCCCGGCCCATGTGTGTTGAATGGGTGCGATATCCTACACAGGTGTGGAAGCTGCCTTCCTGCACATTCGATTGCCGTCAATGGATGGCAATCGATGTCCGTTGGCACTAGATTGCGGAACAGAGACCGATTTTAAATAAAGGAAAGAAGAAGAAGAAGAAGCTCTACGTAAGTGCTGAAATAAGCACGAGCGCATCCAAGTCCTCGGTAAGTTCATCATCCAGTATGGCGTCTAAACCGCTAACTATCGCCACCTGGAATGCTTGCTCTGTAAGAGCAAAAAAGATTGAGCTTGCCGACTTCCTCCGCAAGCACAGCATCGACGAGGGCCTTGTAACTGAGACCCACCTAAAGTACGGCGACAGCTTCTGGTTGCCTGACCACAACATTATCCGGCTCCAGGGGGTTGGTGTTGTGGTCGACATCAAGAAAGGAATCACTTCACTTGGTGTGGAGGTGGAGTCATCAACTGGATACGTTCAGTTCATCGCCGTCTACTGCCCTCGACAGTGTGCCGCCAACAGTGGACTAGCGGCTAAATTCAAGAAGAATCTGTCCACCAAAACACGTACCGGCTTTGTTGTTGGAGGAGATCTCAATGTGCGCCATGAGGCCTGGCGGAACTACCCAGCAGAATCAGAACGGTCGTCTGCTGTTCGACCACTCGTGGCATGGGCTGTACTCCATTTGGATCTCGGGCGAGCCAACATTCGTCTCACCGGCGGGCAACCCATCGACACTAGACCTGTTCCTGACAAATACCGGCTTGTCCAAGCCGGTAGCCTTGAACGAACTCAGCTCCGACCACCAACCGGTGGTGGCTGAACTGGACTGCAACGTGGCCCCTGCTCCAAGCCTGTGCAAGAGCAACACCGCGTAAACGGGGCCTAGTTTGGACGCGTGGTAGACAGGCCGCCGCTTGACACCGTGGAGGACATCGTCAGAGCGTTGGAGGGATTCCACCAAGCCATAACCGTGGCTGACGAGGCGTGCGTCCGACGAGTTCCTGTGAGGGGTAAGATTATTGCCATTGATTCCCACACCCAACTCTTGATTCGCCTGAGAAATATTCGTAGACGCTAGTTTAAAAAAAAACCGGCGATCTAGCGAGGAAACGGAAACAAGGAGATTGCTTCCAGAATTGTCTTACTCCGGGACGAAAGTTTCGGCTACTCGTCCAGAATCTGGACGAACCCTTAAGACTACTACCCATTACTCAAAGATGAATATGATGACGATCGGCTCACTATCACCCCTCAGGAGAAAGCAAATGCGATTGATGCAAAATTTGACTTTTTCGCTCCACAGTGCTTAAATGTTTTCAAATCGGGTCCTGATTAGCCTCCCAAAGTTACAACTCATTTGGTTAGAGCACAAGCCATTTGAAGTTTACATGTAAATTACTATGGGAAATCTCAACTTTTTGTTCATTGCCTTCTAGTATTTTTCCATATTGAGCTGCGAAACAGTTCGATAGCCATTCTTATAGAAAATTTTCTCAGCTACAACTTTGCTCAAGATCGTTTCTATGTAAAACGAGACAGGAAAAAGTTATTAATTATTTAAGAGATTGGTAAACTTATGACAAGATCAAGCAGCTGCTCTGTAGGCAACACTGTATTTTGCAGTGTGACATAATAGCACATAGTAGCCATGATTTTTGTGCCCTATTCAACGCCCCAGAAACACCAATGTTGCCTGCTGAGCAGTTGATTGAGCATGATCATTAGACATCAGCGTATTGAACCATTGATAACTTTCGATCCTTGCATTTAATCAAAAAGTAGTCTTGAGCAAAGTTGTAGCTGGTAAAATTTCCTACAAGTAGAGTTCGACAGTGAGCATGCATAAGGGCGTATATGCGTTGATCGATTCTCTTCATCGGTTTTCTCTTTGCATTACTACAGCTAAGCAAAACAACTGTCTAGAATATGTTCAATGCAGAGATGTATCAGGTTATATTGGCTATCAAAAACAACAGCAAACGCAACGAGAAACTTTAATTCTGGCGAGTTATTAACTAAAGAGAAAATCGACGAAGAGAATCGATCATCGCGTTTACGCCCTTATGCATGCTCACTGTCGAGTTGAAAGCTTTTGAAGCAGAACGATATGGTGAATTATTAGATAGACATGAACAAAAATCTTGGTTTTACCAAAATAATTCCCATACAAATTTCAAATGGTTTGTGCCATCTCAGTTTCTCACCAAATGGGTTCAAATTTTGAGAGGTTAGTAAGGACCTGATTTGGAATCGTTTAAGTATTGTGGAGCGAAAATTTCAAATGTTGCATCACTCTAGTGAGCATATTGCAAAATCGCACTTGCTTGGCTCCAACATCCAAAGTCCGCTCGAAGTTCAGGTTGCGCAATGTGTACTCAAACTTGATTCCTCTCCTTGTGCTATCCCTCCGGAGGATAGGATCTCGGTGGAACATATTTGCTCAGCGTTGAAATGCACCAAAACATGAAGGGGTTCGACGGAATATTCAACCTAGTGTTGCAAAACCTCAGCATGTAGGTTCACTCTCTGCTCTCTGTCATTGTCTTCAACAGATGCTTCGAACTGCACTACGTTCCAAGTATCTGGAAGACAGCGAAAATCATACCTATCCGCAAACCCGGGAAGGACCCAACGCTAGCTTCAAGCTACAGACCAATCAGCCTCCTTTCAGCGCTGAGCAAATTGTTCGAGAAACAATCGTTTTCTCAAGTTTGTCGAGGAGCACAACATTCTCCTACCGGAACAGTTCGGGTTCAGGAAGCGGCACTCCACAAATCATCAGCTAGTACGGGTGATGAATAACATCCGAAGTAACAAGGCTGTATCCAAGTCCACAGTCATGGCATTGTTAGACGTTGAGGAAGCGTTTGACAATGTCTGGCACAATGGGCTTATATACAAGCTTTGTAACTTTAACTTTCCTTTGCATCTTGTTAAAATCACCCCTAACTACCTTCAGCAAAGGTCGTTTAAGGTATCGTTGAATGGCTGCCTTTCAAACACGTTCTCCATCCCAGCATGTGTTCCGCAAGGAAGTCTGTTGGGCCCTTTGCTATACAGCATCTACACTTCCAACATTTCTCCCTTGGGCAACGGTTGCGTGTTCTTCCTGTTCGCAGATGATACCGCTATACCGCAAGGGAAGGAGGCCTCGTGAAATAACAAACAAACTTCAACGATGCCTTGACGCCTTTGCTGATTATGCCACCACGTGGAAAATCAAAATCAATGCCTCCAAAACACAAACAATCATGTTCCTCCATCGGCAATCACCAAAACTAATCCCGCCTCTCAAGGGTGAACAAACTGGCTGTCTACAAACAAATCATAGCACCTGCGATCCTCTACGTAGCTCCAATGTGGGAATCGTGTGCACCAACTCAAGGGCGTAGCCAGGTTTCGAGCTAGGGAGGCGACGAAAAAAAAAATTACTGTGGAAAATTTGGCCGAATGCTATTTCACCGAACGCCATTTCACCGCAAGCCTTTGTGTTGCTGAGTTTAGGGGGCAGTTACCCTCCTCCTGCCCCCTATACCTATACACCGACTCACAAGAACAAAGTCCAGGTGGCACAAAACAGAGTGCTTAGGATGATCCTCGATCGTCCTTTCGACACTAGGATAACAAATTTACACGAAGAGGCCCAAAATAGATTCCTGAATTAATGAAATTAAGACTAAATTTGCACGGAATCAGAACACATTTTTCGAGCGAACTTGAGAATCCACCGATCCGAGTACTCCTCGTTCTCGTTGTTTGAAGAAGACCGGCTACGCAACCTTTGCGCCGCGTTTCTAAGCGTATTCATCGAAGTTTCGCGTGATAATCCGTCCACGAATTGCCGCCAGTATCCGCGTTTCTTGGTTTTGATGAGCTTAAACGCACCAGACTGTTTATGATGCACCTCAGTGCATTGCTGCTCTCACCAAGGGTAAGGAGGTTTCCTACGGAAAGACGTTCCTGGAACCGGCCGAAGCGCGCTGTTCAAGAACAGATTGTATAGGAAGTTATATTCTTCCAACCAACGGTGGTAGCGCTTTTACCGACGATACGACTTCATCTATCGCGGTCTAATCATCAAGAGCAGACATTGCTTACAAAAGCTGTTACGCCCTAATTCCAGCTCTATCTAGAATTATTTTTGTCTCCCAGAAGCTCCGTTATCGACATGAAATGTTTCACATCTGAATGAAAGTCATCCGATGTTAAAGGCTCAAAGCAATGTAGGCGGAAGCGGAACTCGAGCGGAACGGAAACGGAAATTTTAACAGTTGTCTTAAATGATATCAAGATGCCTACCGAAGTCGATTTGGTTCTAACTAGTTTTCAATCCGACAATTAGGCTTATACCCTGGACAGACTATGGTTTATATCATGTAATATAAGCTATCTTGCAATGAGCACTCATACATCTAGTTTTCACTGGAAATCCTATATATGAGTGCTCATTGCAAGACAGCCTATATTACATGATATAAGCCATAGTCTGTCCAGGGTATTACTCAGATCGGACTTTTCCGCTTCCGCTGTCATTGCGCATCTGATTGCCGTTTACACGGTAACCAGCGTAAACACATTAATGAGTAAAATAATACACATGTTTTTATGTTTATATGCAGCTGTCAAAAACTGTGTAAATTAGGAGATCTTAAAATGTGTGAAAAAATACACATTTTAAGAATGTAGTACCAGTATAAAATTTGTGTTTTTATACTCATTAATGGGTAAAAAAACAAACTTCAAAACTTGCTGCCTCCTGCTTCGTTGATGCACGCCATTTGCCTAAACGAAAAAAATTCAGCAATTTTATGCAAAGGATGAGGAACTACGGTCCAAACTTTAAAGAGCAACGATGGACAAGCTAGAGGGTAAGTGGTTTATATTATTTTCACAGCTAAGCCCTAGAAATAAAAATAATTTTTAAGTTATTCATTGTCCGCTGTCTGGCTGTGATTTTTTTTAATTAAATAGTATTGAATCCGAGCCATCTTTATTTAATCATTGGCATAAATAAGAAAACTCCATTTGTCCTCATCATATTAAAATTCTATAAATGATTACTTTTAACACATTTTGCAGTAAAAACCGTACTGAAAAATGTGTAAAAAATACTCTTCTATTGATGTTTGATAGGTTTACACATAAATGTGTAAACGCAGTTTACACATTTTATGAGTAGACCCCTTTTTTCACGAAATGTGTGAATTTTTACACATTAATGTGTTTACGCTGGTTACCGTGCAAGGAATGACTTGTCTCTCGTGTGAAATCCATTTTTGATTAAACGAATGTCAAATGTATTGATGCTGATACTTGGAGCTGTCCTTCCCCTAGGCAATGGTTCTACAAAAAAGTTGATGTATTAAGATAAAAGTAAGATTTTAAACTTTTCTCTAGTGATATTCATATGGTTAGTAATATCAAAGCCTGATATCATGCTTACTACGAATATCAGTGTTGGAGGTGAAATTCAGTGCTAGACCAATATCTTACGTCAATTGAAATTATTGGCAGCACGCAGCACTGGACAGAACTTCTCTTCACCCGAGCATTTGAACAGGGCTGAATTTGAGGAGAGCAAAGGGGGCAATTGGCGTTGACGGCGACTCTGTAGCTCTTTACTCCTATGAGAAAATCCATAAGCAAACGAAACTGTCTAATTTTGCTGGAGGAGCAAATTTTTCGACGGTGCCGTCAACGCCAATAGCGATTGTTGACGTTTATCGTACGCACTGTTTTTCAATTTTTATATGTGCACGGCGAATGAGAACGACCCAAATTTGAATTTAGTTCACTCATAATCGTCAAAAGTGCAGGAACTCAGCGATGAGTAAATTTGCCTCATGTTTTCCCAGGATATTCCAGGGAAAAATTCCCGAATTTGAGAAAAGTAAAGATTGGATTCACTCTGTCTATTGGTACTACTCCGAGACTGAATAAAATTTTCGTCAATTTCCTCATTTTCCGGCAGATTTTTTAGGTTTTCCACAGGAAACCATGAGACAAATTTTACTCATCGCTGAGTTCCTGCACTTTTGGCGATTATGAGTGAACTAAACTCAAATTTGGGTCGTTCTCATTCGCCGTGTGGTAAAATGTACACAGAAATTCAAAACAACCCAAAATTAAGTTCTTTTCACTCATCTACCATTCACTCATCTATCGTACGGAACTAGACGGTTGAGTCGAATCTTTCGTTCTATTTTTGACAACAATAGCGTGAGAAAATGAAACGGGCTGAGGTCAAATAACTCAAATTTGAGTTTAAAAAACCCAAGCGGTGGGTAGTTTTGTTTTTCTGTGTACACGGTAAGAAAAAAGTATCCAACGGCCAGTTCACTTTTACCTACTTTTGACTAGTTTGTCTCCTTTTCTCCTTCTAATGTTGTCAAAAAGTGAGGAGCAAAACCACCCAACAGGGGTAGTAAAGTGTGGGAAACCAACGTTGAGTATAATCGTATTTACCTACTGTTGGGTACAACTAACTTACTTTTGGATTGAAAGCTAGTGGAAAATTCCATACGAATTGCACACAAGTAAATGAAAATTACTTTGACCCGCTTTACCTACTTTTGGGTTCCTGCACTATAGCAACAATCAATTCGAAACTAACGATTTTAAATTGGCTCACTACTTGACTAGCCTATTGGTCCCAAGCAAACGATTAACGTATCCCATTCTAGTCAAAATTATAGTATTACACTATGTTTGTTTTGATTTGCTATGAAAGTTTGACAGATACAATGAGGGGTTCATGGATTTTCCTATGTTTCGAGGGGTACATCGATTAGCTTGAGACCGAAGATAGTACCAGAGCTGAGCCAAAAATTTGAACACCAATCTTCGGGACCTTCTGGTCTTAGAGTTACCTCTATGACTATAGTGCCGAGATGAGTGAAATGAACTTATTTTTGGGTACTTTTTTCTAACCGTGTAGATTCCACATCTATTTGATTTTTTTTCTGACTTTTTTAAAACAAATTCAATCGGATGGTAGGAGGGAAAATACGATCGTGCATTTTAAATTCAAACTTCGAAAGCAGATACGATGGCTTATGCAGCTAATTTTTGCCTGTATAAGCTAGACGGCAGCTAAAATTGTTTGTTGGGGTATCAGAGACTTTTGTTTTCGATCAAAGAAAAATCAACTCAGACATAGTAGTAATCATACCACGTGTTACTCTTTTCCTTTATTTAGTAACATACAACACAAACAAAATTATAAATCAAATGTATGGCAACATAGAAATTGAATTGTTTATTTGATATAGAAATTAGACTGGTGCTTCAAACCTTAATAAATAAAATCAATATAAAAAAACGACTAGAATGTGTCTCATCAAATGAACGGTGTTAATTTTCCTAGGGCAAATAAATCTCTCTGAAAAATGAAATTAGCTATTCCAATCTTACTGGCTAGTCTTTGGTGAAAACTTATAACAATCTGAAAATCTGACCAAACAGCGTCAGTGTCAGCTCTGTCGTTCCCCGGAAAGTCGAGCTTGCAATTTCCTCGAATGTGCGGATGAAGGCGAAACAGGTGGTGGTGGTGAGTCCCTCGATCTTCTCTGTGCTCGTGATTGTAAAACTTCCGGTGGTGGCGATGAAATGGATGATGGTGAGGACATGGATCTCTCACAGCGTCCGTTGAACATTCTGGAGCTCGGGCAATCCAGCAGAGGACTGTCTTCGTCCAGTAGTAGGTCGGCGGGTGCGCTCATAGGCAGCCCATCGTGAGGATGCTCTCCGGGTGCCGTTCCCTGTTGTTGTAGCTCTCCGGGAAGATAGTCTTTCCAGCTTCGGAAGAGATAGCGAGTAAATTTACGTAATTGTCTAAACTTACAATAGGTCGCACCTTCAGCCGATTGCAGTTGTTGGGTTTGGATGAGAAAGCCTTTTTCCTTGAAGGTCTTTTCCAGCGTCTCCCGCTGGGATGAGCGTCGCGAGCGACGTCTTGCGCGGCGAGCTTCATTGGGATCGGATGACAAGTGACGACGCCCTTGGCTAGATGCAATACCTGGTGAAGTCAACCCGGTCAGGCCGGCAGCGCTGGGGAAATCTGGGATCTGCAGAATGTCGTTACTGAGTCCCAGTGATGGTGGTGGAAGGTCACAAGCAATTTTCTCAATCGGGGGTGTGTTTAGGAAGGCCCCGGTTGTAGTGGTTGCATGGAGGCTACTCTGTTGAAGGCTCTCACGTGGAAAGAATTCGTAACCTCGCATTGATTTATCGCCGGTTCCGGAGTAGTACCGGAAGTTTCCACCGGAATCTACACTGAGCATTTTCTTCTCCTGGAGACAAGGCTTTGCCCCACCGGTGAACTTAAACTTGCAAATGCTTACTTCTGTGGCAGGATTTGTACTGTTTTCCGCCGGAACTGGCGGGATGAAGATGGCTGACCGTTTCCGTTTTTGGGTGGGTGGTGAGCGTTTACTGACGGACGATTGTGAATCTGACTGTGGTTTGGAAGTTTTCTCCGGTTTGATGAGCTGAGATATCGGTTTCGGAACCAGTGTCTGCTGTGGCTCTCGTTTAGGTGCGACCGGTGATGAGGGCGATGGTGTCGAGTTGGTAGATGAGATTGATGGTTTGGGTTTCAGTAATTCTGTTGGAGTGTTGGGGACTGAGTTTGAAGTAGATGAGCTTGACTGACCAGGAGTGATTGTATTGTTGGAATCAACTAGTTTCTGATAGTACAAGGCCATTGGGTGGATGAATCCGCCCACATTAGGCCAATACATGTATCCCGGCGGAGTGTCTGCTGTGGAAGGAGTTTCCCCACTAGAGGGGGTTCCTGCACCAGTGCTGTGCAGGTTTGGCAGTGACATTTTCATATTTGCAGCAAGGGCTTGATCGGTATTGATGTCTGTAGGAGTAATGATTGGCGTTGGACAGGAAGAACCATATACACCGTCACTTTCGTCTTCCGAACTGGAAAGTGCAAGAGGATCACCTCCGGCATCTCGGACGCAAAGATTCAGCGGTTCTTCTCGCTTTCCTTTGCCATTTTCGAGAGTTTTCTCGTTGGACATGAGACGTCTTTCCAGCAAGCTACTACTCCTGGTTTGAGCCCGATGTCCATTGTTTGATTTTCCTTGCAAGGACTCCGGTTTGGGAGTTCCCGGCAAGATCGTGCCATAGTTCTTGTAGATCAGATGGCAGATGTCCGCTTTCTTCGGTTTCCTGCCTCTTCGCGGTTTCGAATTGTCCAGAGTCATCTCTCCCATGTACGGAAGATCCTTATAACTGACGACTTTGTTTTTCTGGGTTCCGGAAGTTCCACGTTGGAAAGATTCTCCATTGGGATCGACCTCATCTTTGATGGGTGCGAGGGAAACGCCCTCCTTTTGGAGTTCCAGAATTTTCTGAAGCCAATTTCTTACCGATTCGTTGGTTCGATCTTCACGTTCCTGTTCTGCGTGTTTCTCCATTCTGCTTGAACGAGTTCCACTGTAGTTTTGCTGCTGCTGTTGCTGTTCGCGCTTGGCCGCAATGTTCTGCGTTGCCTCATAGTGGTCCAGATATTCCGGAGGCAGAGCTTGGTGGTGGAACCGCAGCTTGATGGGTCCTTTACGTCGTTGACGACCTGCGCCACCCGCTGCAGCCCCGCGACGACCCGAGGAACCTCCGGACGGTTTTGTGGGAGTGGGAAGCGGTGAGATTGGAGTATCTGGTAACTCAGGTGATAGAATCGACGTTGGCACGACAATGCTATTGCGATGCTTCTGCGTGGGCGGGGGAGTGGGTGATGAACACATTGACTGGGACGCAGTGGCAACGCTAAGCTCATTATCGTTATGGTTGTCGTTGGTGCCTCCGGAGATGAGTGGGTCGTCCGAACTGCGTCTGCAATAGAAGAGAAGCAGTAATTAACTATGAGTTTACAAAGAGGCAAGCAGAGTTTCAAAGCCTATTCGAAAAAGTCTTTGGATTTGGCTCGGGGCTCAGATCTAGAACACAGCACTACCCAGGGCGCTACTAGAAATACTCAGAGGGAGAGATAGGCGGAGAAAACAAAATACAATTCGGCAGCAGGGATTTGTTCCTAAATTATCTTGCAACCCTTGCTAGACGCTAGCATTTCCAATGACTTTTATTTTTGATTCGATTTACGTGCAAAATAATAATTGATTGCATTGCAATATTTTGCACATTTCTTGGTGCCATTTGTCAACCATTCATTCATATTCGCATTTCAAGCTTATTGATCAGTTCACGAAGATTTGCCGCACTCTTCTCTCACCCGTAAGTTTTGACAGTTTTGGGTGGTTTGTTTTGGCTCCCATTCGTTGCTATCTCTTTTACTCAGAAGCAAAATGATAGGGAGCACAAAGTGAGGTTAGGGACCGTGCACTGATCTATTGCTTAATGCATAGATCACTGCACGAGCTGGCTAACCTCACTTTGGTTTGACATTTTTGCCGGGTTTGTTTTGCTCGCTATTTTTTCTTCTGCTTTGATGTTTACTTTCTGTTCGCCCGCCAGTCAGTTTTTAGCAGTGCTTGCAGATATGAAAATCAAAGCAAGCTTTAAAGCGAACTATTTTTTTTTGAACGCTGCTTGAGTGTTTGAGTTGAAGTTTAAGGATGCAGAAAATCGGAAAACTTTCTGTTTACGCCAATTTATTGCCGGACGCCAGTCGAAAAAGGTATGTCGAAAAAATTCAAGTGTTGGGTTTTGTTGATCCATACGATGCCAAGCTTAACAAAGAAGATTTTCCGACAAATGTGACTACGGGACATGTTGTGGATTATTTGTAAAACCACATTTCTGCTTCATCCGGAAATCATCTAACCAATGTAAGAAGCATTGAAGCGAGGCCGGGTAAGTTTTTTTTTATCTTGAAATTTAGTTTCCAAGGTTTCCAATTATACTTTAGGTGGCGCATTCTATGAGGCTTGATACACCAGCTTTAAACGCGTGGCTAATAGTACAGAAGAATGGGACCATTGCATCAGGGCATTGCAACTGTGTAGCAGGTCTAAGCGAAACCTGTTCGCATATAAGCGCTTTGCTATATGCTTTGGCAAATCTACACTCAATGACTGCTACATATAAGGTAAGGTAAAAATTTGCTAGTTGAACTAAAATTCAGCTAATTGCGTATATTATTTCAGCTGAGTATTACTGATCTCCCATCCTACTGGGCAAGACCAGCAAAAAAAATCAAAGATGATCTGTATCACCCTATACATGACACCAACTACGGCTATAAGGTGGTAAGGATGGACGACATGAACATACGAGCCGATCAGGAAGCTTTTTTAGGATTTATGGCTGATTTAAGGGATGTTGGAAGTGACGCTGCTGTTCTTCGGAAGTTTTGTGATGGCGATAGCTTTGCTTGTGAAGAGTGTCAGCAGAATGCTATTCTGGATGATTTTTTTTTGAGTAAAAATGTTTTGCTTCAAAACCAATTCGTCCCCGAGTTGGAAGGACAATCACTTGAGAAAATTAGAGAGTTTTCGGACAAATTAAACATCATCATTTCGGCAGCCGAAATTCAACAAATCGAACGATTGACTCGTGCACAATCTCGATGTGACCTGTGGCAATGGGTCAGGATAAGCCGGATAACAGGTTCGATATTAAATGAATGTAGTCGAGCCTCGATTACAACAGTTCCATCTAAAATGACCCTCTTAAAACGAATTTGCTATCATGAAACTACGACAATCAAAAAAAAAGCTATAGCATACGGAAGAAATAATAAACCTCGCACTTTAAAAGCGTTCCAAAAAATGAACGTGGAGTATCACAAAAACGTAATGTTTTTGGAATGTGGGGTGATCATTTATCGCGATCAACCATTCATGTCGTCCACTCCGGACTTGATAATAATGTGTGACTGCTGTGGTACATCAACCGTAGGAGTTAAATGTCCTTTCAGGCTATCGGGGAAATCAAGCCTGAATAATCAACTTAAGATCAAGAACCATCCATTCTTGGCGATTCGAGATGGAGAATATTTGATGGTGAAGTCGCATGATTACTACGCCCAAATACAAGCAGAGATTTTTGTGAGTGGCTCAAATTTTGGATGGTTTTTTGTATGGAGGAGCTTTGCTTGCGAATTGAGAGGGACATTGATTTCTGGAAGGAACCTTGTGAAAAATCGTTGAAATATTTCAAAAATATCATATCACCTGAACTAGTCGCCAATTACTTTTTGAATGGTTCAAAACTTAAATAAAAGAAATTCTTAAACTGAAATGATTGATTTATTAAAATTACACAAAATACAAGAAACCTTAACCATTAAATCCACAACATTATGGTTATTCTGAAATCTTGCCATGGTATCAACAGATATTGTTCCAGAGATACACTACTTATTCCGCAGCAATCCAATGACTCTCTCCACGTGAATCCGAAGAGAAGTAACCTGTTTATCAGTTTCCAGTTCGGCAGGTGAAAACTGGCGCTTATTGCGCAAAAATGTCGGGATATTCAGGGTTGCTTTCTTTGCGCGAATTATGTCACTAATAGTAAACCCCTTGTCGGCCAGTATAATATCGTTTTCCTCAACTAAATCCAAAAATCCACTCTGGAGCGTAATGTCACGATCAGAGCAGCGACCCGTAAACCCGTTCGAAATATATGCAACTGTCCCGTCAGGATGAACAGCTATCAAGAACTTAACAGTATGTGTTCGCTTATAATTGCTAAAATGTGCAGCCGCGGTCTTTATGTTACCTGGAGTCTCGCTGCGAACCTCAAAACAGTCAACAATGAATACACGTTTATGCTCGTAAATTCTGGCGAAGCTGTGTGGAGTATGACGAGCTGCATTCTTCTGTTGAGATGGTTGAAGAGCGTACTTGCAGCATGAATAAATCACATATAGTGTGCGGTGAAAGTACTTAGATGCCGTTGTTGTGCTCACACCATAATCAAACCCCAACGTTGAGGACGGTATGTTCAATCTAAGTTGTGACAACGTCATAACAAACAGTTGTTCTGAACCGAAATTCGGCATAGGGTCATCAAGTGACGGCCGCAAATACTTATATAATTTCGTCAACACTTGGTAGTCTGAAATTCCTGTATAATAATTGCACTTAATAGCACTCTCCGCTAAGAACTCCAAACCCCTTTGCTTCAAAACCAGCTTTTCCTCCAACCCAAAGTTGTGGTTCTGAATTCGTGCCAGTTCGGTTCGATAAATTTGGAGTTTTTTTTTTCAGAATCTAACGCAAATAATTGTCTGAAACACAGTAAAGCAAATTATGTGTTGAAAAACGTTATTTTTTCTGGGTGAACAAACCATTTGGAACTGAAGGTGAAGTGAGCTCCTCGGTGAGTTCCTTATTTTCATCAAACGAGGCTTTGATGTATGATTCGGACGATAACTTCGGGGAAGTTATATGCTCCAGTTCTTCATCAAAAATTTTAGCTGGTTCTGGATCAGGTTGTGTTGATTGATTTATAGGGTTCGAGGCACTTGGCAGGTTATCCTCTAGTTTATCATTGTTGGCATCATCTGTGCAGCACTGTGCTGTGTTCTTAATTGGTTAGAATAATGATGGAACCCAATCCGGGTTGTGCACATCTGTTGATTTAGCTGGTTTTCCTATAGTTCGACAAGTAACCTTATTATTCAATCAATGCTTATTAATTAACTTTCAAGTTAAATCTATCCTGAGATAAAATGTCTACCGCATACATATTTCGTACTCCATCTCAAAGTATCTTTCAAACCTAGAGCAACAATCCATCGATCTCTTCGAAGTATATTAAGCCGGCTGATAAATGAGCTCGAACCTACCGAAGGGAAGCTGTACATGCTTCGCGCTGATACGGACGTATGACAATGGTTCAACACACAAACTTTCGGCATTTTAAAACAGATATAAATAATCAAAAAACATTGGACGATACAACCGGAGATCAGCTTCACAGTTTGACGCCTACAAACATTCAGTTAAATCGACTTGCTTTGATTTTTGTATCTGCACGCACTGCTAATGATTGACTGACGAGCGAACCGAAAGTAAACATCAAAGCAGAAGAGAAAATAGCGAGCAAAACAAACCCGGAAAAAATGTCAAACGAAAGTTAGGTTAGGATTGATGCAGTGATTTATATTAGCTTATTGCGTGCTCTCAACTTAGTGTTCTATCTAAATGCACTTCCACAATTATTAATTGAGAGCTTTCGATGCCAATACCAATGCATGAATTTGTATATTGTGTGGCAAGCACAATGATACTCTATGCCCAGGGAAGTCGAGAAAATTTCCAACACGAAAGATTCCCTCGACCGGATCGGGAATCGAACCCGCCGCCTCCAGCTTGGTAATACCGTGCCTTTACTTACTAGGCTATGAGGCCCGTCATTTGTTAACCAACGAAGATCAATTAATCAATAGAGTTAGAATATTGTTTTTGGTAACAAAAATTAGTTGAATTTGAGAAGCACACAAAACATAAAGGTGATTAAATTATTGTTCGATTGCAATACTCTCAAATTTATTCTAGTAAGAATAAGAAATCCTCGGAAAAAATCTAATAGGAATGTTCGATTGGCTTAGATATTGACAGTTCATTTGGCTAAAAACATTCTCTCCGCCCATCTCTCCCTCTGAGTATTTCTAGGCGCTACCATATAATTTAACAAACTTCCAAGGCGAACAGAGGGGATGCAAGGTACAGCGGTATTGATTGCTTCCGACTTCTTGAAGGAGGGAGGATGAATTCGAAACTTTTATGCTACTGATGAACACAGAATGTTATCTTTGAAATATACCATTTAGAACACTTCAAGCCCAGAACTGATACTTACAAAAACTGGCTTCCAATATGGTTCGTACTCCAGGGATATAGATCTCGGTCGGCTTCCTCCAGTTTGCCACTTTCGTTCGCTTCTATCAGATCGCTGGTCTGACTAAGTTTTATCTCGTCAGCTACCACCGTTGACTCGGAAACGTTTCCCCCAATTACACCATGATGGTGATGGTGATGAAGCGCCGGGTGATGGTGGCTCGTGTGGATAATGCTGGCGTTGAAATGCTGGCTTTGACTGCCGAGGTCCTTATCACTGCTCACAACACTTCCTCCAAGAAGACCAAACTCTTCCTTGGTGAAGTCTTGCATACTCCCACCAACTGCAATGAGAGAGACGGAGAAAACAGAAATTGGTTACCAATATGCTCTAAAAAGGAAGAAAGAAACAAACTAGGCATGTTTGACCTAATTGACCGCTTGAAATTGTTCAGAACCAGCCGATGCGCCTCTAATTTTAAACTTCCTTCTACTGACAGAACTAGCTCGTAACAGAACGCACTTATCCCGCCGACGGTTGCGATTCCATTTTTTGCCTTCCGGGAGAGGCGCACCCACATGGTCTCGTGCGGCGGAGGAGAAAATTCGTGTATAATATGGTTCAAAATAGAACAAAACATTGGTCAGTGGCATTTTTCGGCTTTCCACCCGCAACAAAAACAACAGCAGCGAAACCAATCCCAGTCATAAAACACACACCCCGAGAGAAGACAAATTTCGAGCGCTCGCACTTAACCACAATCATCATCATCATCATCATCATCATCATCAACACCATAATGCGGCGCAACAGCATATGTAGTGTGGCCCTCCGTTGATGCTAAAAAATGAAGCAAACTAGAACCATCATAAGCCTGTCCCAGTTGTCGGGTCTATCGTCGTCGGTCCGTCCGTCCGTCGGTGGTAGGTACTGTGACTGATGGTGATTCACGGGGTTTAAATATAGCAAACGGCCAAGCGCATCGTGCCATTTTTCCCCATTTCGTGATAAATTGTGTTTCCATGCAGTGCAACTAGCGGCAAGCAACGAGGCAACCCATGCTTTGGTTGTGCACCTTCTCCTGACCTGGCTTCCATTGGGGTTTTCCACAGAGAAAAATAAACACGTGTTGATTTTTGCTACCGAGAGTTGCTGGTGGTGGTTTCCGCGAAAACCAGATGGATGGCTTATTTTGTCTCACTTGTATGATCACCTACTGTTGAGGTGGGACAATATGTTTCAAATGCAGTATTCAGTCGAAAAAAAAAAACAGTGTTCATCAAATTTGGAGTTTGGCATTTAATTCTGAAAGAATCATGCGTCTCCATTGAATGCTTCATAATGGTGGCGTTTTGAATGAGATTGTGGGGCACCCGGTGCAGGGCTGGTAGCGAGTCACTTTTTAGTGACTTGGTCACTTTTTTAAAGCCAGTCACTAAAAAGTCTCATTTTTTAAGGTCATGTCACTAAAGTCACTTTTGCTAGTAATCAGTCACTATTTTCAACTTTTTTAGAGTGAATTTATTTCATGATTGATCATTCTTTGCTTTGTGACGTTTAATTGCCTTTCTCTATCTACAGGGTGGCTTCTCATTTTTCTAATTAAAATTACCTGAGTTTTCTAGGTTGTTCCAGAACTTTAATAGATAAAATCCAGGCTATTTTTAAAATGCGTTCAAAATATGCTTTTTTGGAAGATTAAAAAACAACAGTAATTAACCCAAACGTTTTTAAAACATGGCAATCAGTTTTAAAGAACCAGCTTTACAATCAAATCCATTGAATGTTGAAGTTTAGCACTTACTTAATTTATCATTTTAATAAAGTTAAAAAAACGTACTTCATTTGAGTAAGTCCAAGATCTAAAAGTATTAAATGTTTTGAAGCTTCGTATTCCATGTACAAGTTAAAGATATTTAATTTCAAAGTGCCTGAATTAAGGAAAACAAATAAATGATTTATTTCAAGTTCGTAATTAACTTTATCAAAGATTAGAGATCTTCATTGCAGAACTTTGAAGAAGTTCTGAGGAATGAAAGGAAATGCTGAGAATTTCAGTGAAGATCCATAAACAAATTAAAATTTTCAGGAACTTTTATGAAGTTCCTAGAACTTCAGAGCACATCATAGGTGTTAAGCGATCTTGAGAAATATAGAAAACTTGAAAGGTATTGTGCAAATTTTTAAGAAGTTCTAAGCACCTAAAAAAAGCTAGATCTAGAGATCGTTGGGGAATTTCAGATCTTAAGAGCAGTTCCCATGTCTTTAGTTCAGACTTTTGTAGCAATTAGAGAATTTATGAAAACTTTAGAAATATTTCAGGAACTTCACAGAAGTCCAGAGAATTTTAGGGAAATTCATCTTCAATAGAATTGAGAGCTTTAGGGAAGCTTCGAGAACATCAAGACAGATCAGAGAATCAAACGCAGTTCAAATAATTTGTTGTAGAAACCTTAAAGAAGTTCCGGAAACTTCAGCAAAGCTCCTAGAGAATTTCTGGGACGTGATAAAAATTATGCGAACATCCGGAAAACGTATGAGTAATTTATAGGTGTTATATCATAAAGATTTCAAGAACTTAAAAAAAATGCAAAAATTTGGCTAAGTTGATTAGAGAATTAATAAAAAATGCGATAACTTTTAGCAATCCAGCTATATCTTCAAGAAATTCCAGAGATCTTCTGATAAATTTAGATAGTTTCATGTTATTCAGCGAAGTTCCGAGTACTTCGAGGACGATCAGATAGCTTCATCAACTTAAGCAAATTTGCAGCGACTTACAAGGAATTCCGTGGAATTATGGGGTATTCCAAGAATTCTATGATTGAAACGAAATCGTCAGGGAATTTTGAATAGATGTCAGAAAATTTGCTGGATTATTAAACCAATTTAGAGAACTTCTGGTAGGCATAGATAAATTTAGGTAAAATAAGTGAGCGTTTATAATGGTTAGAATACTTAAGAAAAATTTACGAAACTTCAAAGTTGCTAGTTCTTAAAATATACTGATCAATTGAGGGCAGTCTATAGAACTTTTGAAAAAAATCGGTAATCGTTTAAGCAGTTTTAATAACACCAGGAAAGTCTAGACTATTGAAGAAGTTTTAAATTAGTAAATCATAGAACTATATTAATTATTTCGTTAAAATTCCATGCAAATTGCGGAAGCACAAAAGTTTCAGAAATTTAGAAAAACTTCGAAAACTTCACAGAAGGACATTGGTCTTCAGAAACATTTTGAGAACTTCACAGAAACCTATGGAGCTTAAGGGGCGATCCGCAAACTTCAGCATTTTTTTATAAGCATTAGCAAAATGCGGGTGCATTTGAAAGAAGTATAGTAAGCTACCAAAATTGGAGGAATTTCATGGAGAGGTCAGTTCCATTAGTTTCAGAAAATTAATGGGAAATTTAAAGAAGTGTCTGATTCCCAGAAGTTCACAGAAACTGAAACATTTTTAGGACGGATCAAGTAAATTCAGCGCAGTACAACAAGCTTCATGAAAACTGCAAAAACGTTACAGCAGAACAGAAAACCTCAGAGCAGTTCCGTTAACATTAGAGAAGTCACATAAATTTTAAAGAAGTTTAGAGAACTTCTGCGAATTTTTAAACTTTTAGAAGGGATCCATGATCGTTAGAAAAATTAAGGAAACTTTAGGAAGTCCTATAAAGTTCAGGGAAGTTTAAAAATTTGATGAGTAGTATTATGAGCATCAGTCTAGTTTATTAAACTACAAAAACACCTCAAGGCAGTTTCATTAACTTCAGGAAAAATTTGTTCTAGTTGTTCTGAAGACCTCTCCTGAATTCATTTTCCGAATTCCTTTGAAGATGTCCTGGAGTTGTTTTCAGATTTAATTGTAATCCTCCTTTTTGTGTTTTCAAAAACAAATCCAAGGACTTATGCTCCGAATTTGTTTTCTCCTAAAAACTTTATGGAATTATCCTCAGAAATCCCTTGAAATTTTCCTTTGCATTGCGCAGGAATTGTGCCCCTCAGAAATTCCTAAGAGTTTTCATTAAAATTTATTTTTAATTAAGTTCAGGGTTTCTTGAAATTCTACTCAAAACTATCTAAAAATCCTTGAAAGCAGATTGGATTTGATGTTTTTCTGAAAGATTTTTTTTCCAGAACTCCCTTGGAATGAGGTCCTGTGCATGGAATTTGACTTAAGATTCTTGAAAATTTCTTGAAGTATTATGGTCCAGAACTAGTTCAAATTTAAAATTTCTAGGAAATATGCAAGTTATAAAAAAAATCAAAAAACATTTCAAGCCGCTGTTTTTTTTAAATTTATTTCTTACTGAAGATTTATCCCCTGTGGAGCTATGAAGTTCAAAGTGTGAATGAAAATAACGAGAAAAATTAAATGCTTGTATTTTAAAATCCATTATTTTCTTTTAAATATCCTTAGTAAGAAAATTATCAAATTATCTGAGACTTCCAGGTTTTCAAGGTTTTTGCAATTAGTAGACACCCTGACTAATACCGTGGGCTTAGCCATAAACTTTCTATTGAATCTATCGCTTTAAAGGGTTTAATTGGACATAAGTGTTTTTGAGATTCTAATTGAATAAGTCTAAAACATCAAACATTTATATGGTGTGCCATTATAACGACTACTTTTCTTCTCTTAGGTCACTTTTAGTCACTATTTTTACAACTATAAGTCACTATTTAGTCACTTATTTCTTCAACATGGTCACTAAAATCACTATTTTTGATCGCAGTGATCGCTACCAGCCCTGCCGGTGCAGAAAAATATGATGTCTCTCCTAATCGCTCTGGAGTTGTTTCTAAAGTTTGAGATTTTAGCCAAATTAGCTTGAAGGCTTTTGAATTCCAACGGGAAATATACCCTGCCTCTAATACAGTGCTTTCCCGATTTTGTCAGCCTCCGATTTTGTAAGCTTTTTTTTCGATTTTGTCAGCCTGCAGTTATTAAACATGAATTCTTAAACTTTACGCTGTGAATAATTTTTGTTCTTACACTTTGTTGAAATGTGAATGTTAGGGGAAGCGGGGATAAAATGTGCATACAGGGTAAAATTAGCAATTGACGATTTTAGGTACTTTTTCATTCAAATATCAATCAATTCAACGTACAGGTCTTCCAATCCAATGTACCTTTTACATTTTAATTCATTTACATTAATTCAATATTCTCCTACTAGGAACTATTAGTTTTGAATTGCTGTTTGTTGGAAAAATCATTTTTGCCACGGAAAACCTATTTTTTTGCAATTGTAATAAAAACCCTGCTTCATTGTCAGCAACATTTACTCTTAGAAAATAAAAAAGAGCATTACATATTTCATTGAAATGTACATAAAAGTTAT